TGGCGGCTCCTCGGTGCGGCATCCAGCCCTGGCAGCAGCAGGTCACCTGCGGATCGCCCCGTTCGTTCCCTGCGGTATCTGCGCGCTTAGATCCCCGTGTGTGGGTGATGAAATGGGCTGGAAAAGAAGTTGGGTGTAGCAGCCGCTAGTGGAAAGTCCCTCTGGGCTTCGTCCGTGCGCAGGCAAAGCCCGAGTTAGGAAAATCCTCTTAGAAACATAAAGGTCAACTAATGAGTTTCACAGTTAGGATTTGAAGTGATGGGAGAAAGAAATTAATGGACAGTCTATATAGCTTAGAAGGCAACAAAATCAGGCTAGCACTGTAAGAAGGTGTACCCTCAACTCAAGTGGTTTGCTTGTTTGTTTTTAAATGCCCTTTTTCTTTGGAAACAACACTTCATGACAGAAAAATAATCTAAAGATAGTGAAATTAAAACTTGTGTCTTGCTTGTTTGGATAGTTCTTGGTGCCTGAAAAGAAGGACCAGGTATTTTTCATCAGCTTACTGAGTATGCTTTTATTTACTAGGAAAATACTAAGTTTTATTCTAAATACATAAAGCAAGCTTTCTGTGAGAGTTAGTGTTGGTGTTGTAACTTTCTTCCTAAGGTAACAGAATATTCATGTTTAGAGTTGATTGATTTAAAAAGGTAGAAATAGGGAGGAATGGGGGATAAGAGTTAAAACCACTTACTGATTAACAGAATGCAAAGGAACTTAGTGTGCAAGTAATTCTTGAGCCAGGAAGGCTATTCTCGACTTTAGTAGCAATATTATTAATGTATATTATTATCCTGGGGTAAATTCTGTAAAAATCAATAGATAATCCAGTCAAGTTTTGAAAAGCAACATATTTCTTTAGGGAGCTGATATAAAAATATACATCTTTAAAATCTGAATTTGTGTGTCTAAGGCTGTCGATTCAACAGGCATCTGTAGTTTGGAGTAAATTCTGGTGGGTTTTTTCAAAAGTGTGAGTAATGTCTATATGGCAAGTAATTACTGAACTTCCAGATCTCCTTAGTGTTCTAAGTAATTAGATGTTCAGTTACAAAATTGCATCCCCATGTCACTCTTATTTTGTTGCCATAAAATGAAAATAAATGTAGAATGCAGTTGTTAGGGTGCATCACTAGTAACGGTACGAGTAAGAAACCTGAACTGAGAGCTTACTGGTTTGATATGCTGTTATTTGAGCTGTACAGCCAAATAATAAAAGCCTGTAATGAAGATACAGTTACTGCTTCAGGTAATTACTATCTTCAGAATAATCCTTTTACTCTTAAAATCATCTATCTACATTCCCTAACTGAACTTTAAAAAAGATTTTTATAAATTGTCTCCATATTTAGGGACATCAATGGAATAAAGTTACATATTTGCTTATTTTGATATTTGTTGAAGTGTTAGCTACTATAGTCAGTCAGATTAAAACATTAGCTTTGATTCAATTTTATTTGAGAGAGAATTTAAAATGTTATGTTTCTTTAGGAAATATTAGGCTCCTTGCATGAGCCTAAGTTAATTTTCAAGATCAGTTGAATTCTCTTAGAATTTGATGGAATTTTTTGTGTTTGTGATGGTTCTTCTGGACTGAAAAAAACCTTTAGATGGAAACAAGGGAGAGTCTGCAAATTTCTCCCTAATATGGCGAGCATTTGATGAGAATGAATGTTACATGAATGTGGTCATGTACAGTCGTTCTGTCCCGACTCAAACCAGGACAAACAATTAGTGCAAAAACTTGAGTTCTATTCTCAGTTATATTTTCCTTCATTTTTAACCTCCTAGTGAAACAAAGATGTTTCTTGTATCCCACATATGTAAGTCTTTGGTTTTCAGTTTGTGATTTTTCTAAGGTTCCTGTAAGACCAGAGAATATTTCTGAAGTGTCCATGAAAGGTGACAGAAATAGTCTTATTACTCTTGACATGTGATTGCTGTCTAAGGATTCCTGTCTCAGTAACATTTTCTTAGAATCCTGCATCCTGAGGAAGGCTGAAATTACTGATACTGTAGATCCTTTACAGAGTATTTCTCTGTCTTTCTAATATATAAACTTTCAATTTAGGAAGCCTCAGAGCTGGAAAGGAAGAAATTACTTTGGATGGGATAATTTCCATGCAGACACTTGTGAAAAAGCAGAAGTGATAAGATACAACAGTAGAGGAAGATAAGCAATCTTTTCAGATAGAATAGGAAGTGGTGAAATGGAGGAAGGGCAGTCAGTGAGGGAGAGGCTTCTCTGGGCTTTCTAGGACTTGGAGTGATGAAGAATGAGTCGTGGTTTTGAAATTAACTTTATAGTTTCAGACTTTAACGGAAAACTTTATAAAATGTGTTACTGAAGCTTGGTGTATTAGGCTACCAAGGTTATGGCAGTACAGTGAGTTTCCACAGTTGCTACAGGATGGAAGGAAGTGTGCAAGAATTTTGTTAACAAGGGATGCTCTCCATATGGAGAGGGAAAAGGACCACATCCATAGGGACAGGAGTTTAAACGTGTTTTGGTCTTTCTGATCATTATTATTATGAGGCACAGACTGCACCAAGAAACAGAACCTAGTGTGAAAAGAATTCCTGGTTTGGGGTTTGTTCAGGACTGCAGGTTTGCATTTGTGATGTTCCAGATGTGAAAAGTAGCTATTACATACAAATCTGGTACTCTGAGGTGAAGTATCCATTCATTGCTTTGTATTGCTTGGAATAAAGCATTCAGAAAGCTTCTGACTTAAAAAAAAAATAAGCAAATCCATTACTAATCCATTATACCAGTTTCTCGAAAGCATTTGTGTTAAATCAGCATTAATTCACACAATTTTTTTAGGTTATCAGGGCTTTATTTGAAACTCATCCATTTTTTAGGCTTTAACAGACCTTGCAGAATGTACAAGATTAAGCATACATTAATGTTTCCACTTTTATTCTGAAAAGGAACTTTACAGTACAAATCAGAATTGCTAATATGAATGAAGGTGGGGAGGTTTGGCCTGAAAATAATTTTTGTGTCTTTCAGTAATACTGCACATAGGTTACAAATAAACACTGAACTGAGGAAATAATTCTCCAGCTGTAGCTTATATTTGAGAGTCATGCTTTTTAAATGTCATACTTTTGGTCCAGGAAGAGAATTTAGACCTCATCTTTAAAAAAAAAATATCCAAATTACTAATTTACTATAGTGTGTTCTATTACGTGAAATTAATTCTTAAATATTTGGTTGAACAGCTGTTAACATGACATTTGAAAAGACTGAAAGATAAACACATACTTGAGTATAGGTATGCATGTTATGTAACAAATATATTGTGTAATATTGATATGTAAATGTTTATAAATAAACATGTAACTATATATATGCAGGTATATACATGCATGCTTATGATTGTGTAAAGTATTACATATTTATAAAATATATAATAGTTTTATAGGGATGTTTATAGGAATATTTTAGAATATTTATACATATATGCATAAAAAGCTGCTTTGATAATCAAAGGGAACTGAAATGCCTCTTGATTCAAAGGAATCTTATCATAAGGCAGTGGAAGTAAAGACCAAGTCAAAGATAACAAACTGAAAGTTTACTTGGAAGTGCGTCTGTGATGCTGACCTGGCAAGGTTTGTTTTCCCCCGTGGTGTCAAAGCTCTGCATTAGTCAATAGTCACAGGAGCGGTTGGTCATATAGCAGAAGAAACTGAGCTAAAGCTGCCAAAGCAAGCAGGCAAAGTGGAAAGAGATCTTGATAACAGAGCTAAAGGCTGCAAACAGATCAAAGAGTGTGCATCACTGAATTAGGTTGGAAGTTAAGTTGCCAGTCTTGATAAAGAAATGCTAAATTGGACAGGTTTGACAAAGAAAGTTTCAGATTTCTTGGGCTTTGGAGAAATTAAGACATCAATAGTAGTTGTTTAAGTTACAAAAGTGGAACAAATTTCTTGAATGTTTCTTAACTGCATGAGTCACTTGGAGTGTTTATATAAAAATAACATTACTGAGTTAATTTTAAAATTTTCCTTCTGTACAACATCATAGCTTTCTGTGCAAACATCAAAATAATAATTACAAAGTTAGTATATTTAGCATTCTTTATTTCTGATAAGCTGCTGTGTCTGCATCAGAGACCTTGGATGGGCAGAGAGAACTCAAGCAAGAGAAGAGCTCACTGAGCGTTCTGTACTACATGTGAGTTAGAAGCTTCAGTTTGCTTTTGACACATGATATGCCTGAATCTGAAATGTATCTTTGTAAATAAGTAAAACCTAGATACAGTTTCCTCCCTTGGCAAGCAAGTCTTGTGCTCCTACATTTTGGCCTTCACAGCTTCAGCACACTTCAGCAGTGTTGTGTAAGATCACTTTCCAGAATATCGAGTCAAAGCCACCATCAGTTCTGGGCAGGCTTGAAAACTGAAATTTTTATGTTGTTGGGGTGCCATGGTAGAGGCCAAGAAGTTCAATAATTAATCCAAATGAGTTCTGCTCAGTTCAGGATTCTCTTAGTTTATGGTCTAAAAGTCAGATGATTTTGTTTTCGAAGGAGCTGTGTTTAATTTGGACTACAAGATTATCTTACTGTAAATAAAGTTATTTATACTAACTTTAAAAAGGGAGCATTCTTTTAAAAGGTATTATATATCTATTGCATAATAGATACCTAATATTGTTGCCTACTGTAAGGAATTGGGTTTTACTCATTCTTTCTTCTGTTGGTAAGTGATTTCCTGGTCTTGAAAGGATCTCGGAAAATACAGCTTCTGAAATGTCGTCGCCCAGCAGCAATTGCCCGCACTTGGAATCAGTTGGTGAGATAACAAAAGAGGAACTGATACAGAAATCTCATGTGAGTTGTAGCAGCTTACTTTCTTCCTATCACAGTTAACTCTGGTCACTTTTTTTAGCTACGTATCTTGTCTTGTATTACTAGTTATCAGATGCATTTAAGTGTTAAGCATTAAAAAAAATCTTCTCTACTGGAAGAGCAAGGGTGAAACAAAGTACGGGGAGAATCTTTCCCAGCAGCGTTTTCCAAATCAATTGATATTTTACTGGAAATATTAATTAAAAGAATTAGCCTAACACCAAGATTAACTTTATTTTCAGACACTGCCATTGTAACACTTAGTTATTTGGGATGTAATGCAGTATCAATCACTTGATTTTGTGTAGAAGCTGTAACCAAGAAATTTGTGTTGAAGTTTTTCTTGGATAATAGTTCACTTTTTGACAGAGGGGCCACAGCTTGAGAAACTGCCCATACATGAACCCTTGGTTTCCAGCTAGTAGTGGTAAATACTCCAAAGAAAGATGTAATTGGTTTCAGTAGCTGGGAGGTGATGAAAAGCCAAACGTTTTTGGTTCATGGTGATACATTTCTTTCTCTGAGAGGTTTAACAGTTGATTTGCTACTGAGAGGTGCAGCAGTTCTCTACTGTTGTAAACCTTTGCAGGTAGTGTTGACTGGAATATGCAGTTATAACAAATTCTATCACTTTCATTTCTTTTTATGTTAAATTTATAGGAAAGACCAATTTTGAGGATTTTATAGTAATGTGATAAATGCTTTTGCTTTATATAGAACAATTGTTGTTTGAAGTTGAAAACTCAGAAGGGACCCAAGATTTTCCTAGAAAAGTATTGCAGTTCTTAAGATTGTGTGCAAAACAAAAGTTGTCAACATATCCTTTTTTTCTGTCAAAAAATTATTCCGCTGATACAGAGCTTTACAGTTGTTTTTTTCTCATTTTGTCTTAAAGTCCTGTTTTACTGGGGAAAGTAAATGAATAATATTTTGTGTGTGTGTGTGTTTGATAGGGCACTTGCCAGGACTGTAAAGTTGGAGGACCCAATCTTTGGGCGTGCTTAGAGGTAAGTTGTTATGGTGTTCTGAAACTTGTAGAAGCATGTATAAGCATTCCTCAAACTTTGCATGAATTTTGTGCAGTCTTTACCCTGTATTCAGTTCTTTCTTATATATTCTTTTGCGTTACTCTTCTTGCTGTCTACAAAAAACCATCATTTTTAGTGTATTTGAAACAAGAAGTTCTGAAAGCATTGCTTCTGATTGACCTATGATACCAAGAGGGAAATATGTAGCTAGTTTAGTTTTTTAAAATGTCCTGAGAGTTCTTCAGCCATACTGCTGTTTTCAGAGGCTGAAATTTTCCTCTTTGGGCTTGACTTCATTTCTTGGTGACATTTGTTTAAGTTCTCTTGGGAAGATATCTAGGCTGAGGTGCCAACTTTTAGGTGTTTGTAAGTGGGTTATGGTAACAGTTAAAACATGAGATTATTTTGCTTCTTCTAGCAATAAGATATAGAAACAAAAGGGGCAACAGTGTTTAACAGTTTGTTGATGGCTTGAGCTTTAATTATATACAAAAACTCTCTTGGGAGTAGGAGATGCATCAGCCTTGCAAGTGGGGAAATGCTGTGAAGCTTCAAACATATTTTACCTTTTTCATTTAGAGCTGTTAAACTGTTACTGAAAAACTTAATTTCATACCAACATTTCCATAGGAGGGTTTTCTAATTGCAGTAGGAGGCTTACTTACTGTCATGCTGTGATATATCTCCTCTTGGATGAATTGGCATCTTGCCTTCACCTTTTTCAGTAGAAAAATACAGTGACATCCCAGCATGTTAATTTTCTGTAGCTTAGCCAATATCTGTCATCCTTTAATGTGGAAAATTGATCATGTTCAGCTGCTGGTTCCTTGTATAAATTAGTGTGTTTAGGGAGTTACACAGATAACATGCTTTACCCTCATATGTGATTGGCTTGACTCATGCAAATGAGGAATTAATGAAAATTGCTTGAGGATTGGCAGCTGCAAGATTCCACACTCAAATCAGCCAAGTATGCTTTGCAATTAGCACAATTAAAATCAACAATTATTTTGCATGTTCTAACTAGAATGCAGTGAGTACTTAACCATATAGTGCTGACAACTGTTGCTTAAAGGTGACAGAACTAATTAACTGCGAAGTAATACTCTTATAAATAGGCACTGCCGATAGAGGCATGCAGGCATTTTTGTAGAAATGCATCATATATTGAGGCTTTTGCAATTCAGTATTTTAGACACTGGTCTAACTTCTTATTTTCTGTAACAATCTCTACCAAATGATGAATTGTAAAAATTGCATGTTGACCCTAATCTGAGTACATATACCAGAATGGCCAAAAAAGTATATTCCAAAACCGTTACGTGCTAACTCTGCCCTCCAGCTAGAGCAGTGGAGTTAAATCTTGCAGTACACTTTATTTGCTTTATGTGATATTTATTTTAATAGTTGTGCATATCTCTTGGCTTGTGTAGGACTGAAAGTTTGAAATTTTAGTTGAATCTGAAAGAGTTTGGCAGTATATTCCTATCCTGTAAATCAGTTTGACACCACTTTTTAATTCTGTTTAATTCTTCATATCTTGCTCAACAGAACAGATGCACATATGTTGGTTGTGGTGAATCCCACGTTGATCACAGTACCACCCATTCCCAGGTATGTGTATTTGCTAGTAATAGAGTTTTTTGAAGCAGCAAAGTAGAATTAGAGATGTTTTTTTACTCATTTTAGTGAAGTCAGTAACCTCTGTTAGCATAACTGTTTGGAAGTGTGATTAGCTGTGATTTCTTTTCATACATAGAAGCAGGTTTTAGTAATTTAGAAGGATGTGAGTTTACAGTCTTTGTGCAGCTGCACATACTTATTGATATAATTCTCAAGTTATTGTGCTCCTTAAAAGAACATGGTGAGAATTAAAAAAAGAGTAACAATTTCTGATGATTTTCAGGATGTGTGGACAAAAGAACTCTTGAGTATTTCAGCTTTTATGTAGCACCTCATTACTCCAGTCTAACTTTTTAGGATTATGCCTGCCTGATGGATAAGGGGATGGTAGCTGGATTGGTGAAGATAATAGCTGAACAGGTGTGAGATAGGAAGTATAAATTACCAGAAACAGGTGCTTTGTTTCTGCATTATGCTCCCTGTTCCAGTGGCTACAGATGAAGAACCTGTAGACTGAGCTGAGCATATCCTTTCCTGCTATGTCCTGATTTTGGATCAAGCTTGGTAGGAGCAGTAGAGTGTGTGCACTGTGTTTCCCAGCATGCCAAATTCTGGCAAGGTTGGACAGCTTGAGTGCATCTGTTTTGAGTCCTAAACTCATTGTCTGTTCTGCACACACTTGCCAAAATGTAGCAAATGAGATATCTCCTTTTCCCTTAACAAATTACAGGGGACAGAGGGATGGCAGTTTTATTAACATGTCATTTCAGAATTGCTGACTTGAAGATTAAATAAACTTCTTGCCTCCAATTTACAGTTTATCTGTCAAATAATTCATCTAGGGTTCCACACTGAGCAATTTTTGTTCTTTAAAAATACTAGAAAAACCCCAATCCTGGTGAATGTTTAAATGAACAAGGTTTTACAAAAAATGTGCTTAGTGAATGCATTTTATGACTACTGATTTTTCTTGAAGCAAGGTCTAAAGAGGAGTACGAATTTGTACAAATCACTAGAGCGTTAATATAAATCTTTCATGTAGTAGTAGGCCCTCTTCTGGATTTTCCTTTTTTGGTAAAAATCTCAATCAACTCAATAAAATGAGAGAAACAAGGTTTTGTCAGTTTATTTCTGCTTACTGCAGTTTCTACCAGCAAGGTTCCCAGTTCTGTGAATAATCATGATCATTGTGTCCACTTCAAAAAATGTAATAAAATGTTGCTGTGAAGATTTGTAATTATTTATGCAGCTGAAGCTGCGGAATCAAGCATTCTCCTGATTAAAATTAAAATATATTTAGGTATTAAAATTAATATATTAATGTGTTCTGCTGTTTCTGATTTATATTTTTTTTAGTAGGGGGAGGGCTGCTTAATGAAATTTTGGCCTGCGTTTTACATTAAAAACATTATTCTTGTACAAGTCCTTATTAAATGAGGTCAGGAGGAACTTGGACATCCTGCAGCAGTTGTAGCATTTTCCTAATATCTAGCAAATCCCTCATTGTCTATAAACCTGGCTGGTGCTGACATATAAGGAAGAAATTCAGGAAGGGCTGGTGGAAATACTGGAGGATGATACCAACTGTGTACACCATCTTACAGTAAGCAAAGAGGTTAAAAAAAGAGAGGTGAAAACTGGAACAGTAATCATATTCTTCATCTGTCAAATTCTTATATTGCTTCACAGTATGAAACTGTCAACAAAATAACTGAGTCTGAAATGTCTGGTTTGATACGAGCACCTCTTACTTTTAACTGAACTGAGAATCTTACCTTATTCTTCTGATTCATTGTTAAATAGCTTGAATTTCTTACAGCAAACCAGTAGGAATAAACACTGCCCTTAATTTAGAGGAGGCAGCTGCCATTATGACCAATAGCAGCCATTCCTGGAAAATTTGTTTATTGTGAATTTTAACACTTCTGACAACAGGCTTTCTTCTTATTTCTTAATTACACAGAGGCATGTCAGATACGACAGCGGCTTTGCATCTGATTGTGCCTTGTTGCTAATTTGAGTGATCTGTACTAAAAATGAGTGTTGTATCATTTGTGCTAAAATTTCAGTAGTGGAATTGCTATTTTTTGGTATTCTAACCTTCGCATTTATGTGGTTGTTGAAAGATTTAGAATTTTAATACTTCTAGCTTGCATGCAGCAGTATTTAATTATTCCAAATTTCTGAATCAAATTTTTGTTTTTTGTTCTGTTTTAGGAAACAAAACACTGTCTAACTGTGAACCTTACTACACTCCGTGTTTGGTGTTATGCCTGTAGTAAGGAAGTGTTCCTGGACAGAAAATTAGGATCTCATTCTCCACTACCTAATGGAAGACTGTCTCAACAAGTGCAAGAAAATAGTGTGCAGGTATTAGCTGGCATAAAGCTATAGCTTTGAAGTAAACATTGCACTGCTCTCAAGTGAGAGACTGACTTTTCCTCCTTTCTTGTGGCTCAACTTCCTATTAATTTATCTGGTTTTATAACATTTCTTTTAAAAGATACTGGCTAGCTTCTGGGTTCTGTCTCTGTACTACATGTTTCCTAAGGATGCTTTTTTCATCATCTTGTCTAATTGTTTATAGTCCACAGTAAACTGTAAGGTACAGAAAAAACACAGGATTAAGTTTAAGGTTACAAGATTTGAATAGTTCACCTGTGCCTTCCCCCATTTTGTGAGCCTTTGAAAATGATGTATACAAAACTTATTACAGTGATTGTTGGCTAACTTAAAGGGAGTGGCAGAATGCCTTAGTATGGGTTTATGGATGCTTGCCTGAGATACTAATTCATTCATACAAGCACAGTACTTTTAGAGAAATATGTGCAAATTGTTAACCTCATTCAGTTAGTAATATAATACCCTTACAGGGATTTCTGTAACTTAGTTTCTGAGGTGTAAACTTGTTTATAGTTTTCAGTTCAGATTTTTGTGCTTGTGTGTGGGAGAATTTTTCCAGTGGAGTGGTATACACATCTGAATAGTTAAAAATATAACTACTATGCAGGAATTCACCAATAAGGCAGTAGTAACCTTTGTGTAATATATATATATATATACACACACGTATGTAATTTTGGTGTAGAGTGACAAATACTTTGTGTTAGATTCGTGGGGGAAAAAAATATCAAACTAGAAATCAAGAGAATGCTAGTAATATTCCATGACAGGTAAGATTGCCAAGGAGCATAAATATGCCAAGGAGAAAAATATGGCCAGTATCTGGGAAGTTGATGTTAGTTGAGTGAAACACAGACGTAATATTGTACTGTTTTATATGATTATGGCATCAAAGACTTTTTATATAAACGCTTAGCTGTTAGCATTAATTTATTAACAATTAATGTAGTAGCTGAAGAGTAAGATAATGAATAAAGCAGTAGCTGGTATTGGAGGCAAGTTAGAGGAGAGAAAAGGCATTATACAGAGAATTTTGAAATATGCTGTTTGCTTATTTTGTTCTTCTGCAATTTCAACAAGATTTGTTTAGGTTTAGTTTGTTGGTTTTGTTGTCTGGTCCTGGTTACCTGAGTCTTCACTGGCATCAGTACTGTTCACTCTGATAATATCTTTTCTAAGTGTTGTATCAAAGAGATATGCTGCAATTTCTTAAGTAGAATTGGCATACTGTATGTGTTTGAAAAAAGGTGCTATTTCTCGATTGCATATTTAATGCAATTATCTAAAGATGACAGGTATCTCAGTTAAAACAGACACAAGTACAGGTATAGTTATTTATAAAAATGTTTTGCTTAAGGCATAGAGCTATGAAAGAGGAACCATGATGCACAAGTTGGACAGAAAGATGGGCAGTTTTTCAATATATGTAGAAAGGAAATGCCCTTTAATATTTTTGTTTCAAAATGTAGTATTTCATATGAACGTGATCTGTTAATTTTCTCATAAAACGCCAACAGCTCAATTGGAATAGTACCATTGAATTTTTATTTTTTAATTCTGTTGTCCAGAAATTCTGGTGACTTGATATAAAGCTGGGTTCAGACTTCTGAACTTATGTTCTACTATAGTTAACTTGTTTTAATCTTCCAAGGTAGTGTGTGTAATTTATGGAAAAATCAACAGAAATTGCAAAGTCTGTCAAACATTCTGTTTAGAACTTATATTTATATTATTACTAGAAGAGTTTCTCATTCAATAAATGTCTGCCTGCCTAATACTTCTTTTCTCTATTTGTACATTTTGCTTCCAACAGGTTGTCTTCCTTAAACGTAGAGCCATCTGGTGGCATATCAAAAACATACACACTTCTATGTGATGACTGCTGTGTTAGCTTTTCAGTGCTGGCTTACTGTTTGTTATCCAAGGGAAAGAAATACTATAGCTTGCTTTGTTTTGATTCTTGGAACTGTTGTCATAAAATCATGTTGTCACTGCTAATCTGAAAACAAAACTGTGGGGGTTTTCATAGTAAGCTTCATTAGGATAGCTGTGGAATCCTGATATTCTCACTTTATGTGCAGTGAGATTTCAAAATGCATTTACATAATTTTCAGTTCCTAGATTTGCTGATGAAACTATATGTAAGCTAAATTCAGAATATAATTGATACATACAAGTAAATATTTTTTTCCTTTTCTCTTCATAAGGATTTTAAAATACCTAGTAATCCCACACTGAAGATCCCACTAGCAGCTGTCTTTGATGACTTAGATATAGAAGTGGAAGAAGATGAGTTAAAGACTAGAGGTAATAAAAGCCAAATCCCGCACCTTGTTGCCTTTTATCATGTGTATGTCTCCAAGTCTGTTCTCCAGCAATATACTAGTTTTCTTTTAAGTGGAACTGTTTCCTATTCTTCTCCAATGAAGATTTTTTATTTTTAGTTTCACCTTTATTGCAGCAATCTTTACTTGCCTTCAGAGCACAGGCTACAGCAGTAAATGTAGTGCACCTGTGCAAGTAGCAACTAGAATAAGCAAGCATGTTGGAGTAGTGTTAGTGTAGCTGGTGTTCTAGCTGCTCTGATAAGAGTAGCTTTTTATAAAACCTTTTCTAATGTTTCTCCTGTCCTAAAAGGTTCCTAATTTGAATGCTTTCCTGAATTTTAGGTCGCATCAGTGTTATTCTAATTTGCGGATCTCATTTTTCCTTTACTCAGCTACTACCAGCTTTCCCTCTCCTAAGTCTGCTGGCATTGGCCAAAAAACGCACTTTGCCCCTTCTGTTGTCTGGCACAGTCTTTCTGGATATGTCACCACCCCACTAGTTTGCCATCTGCCCTTAAATCATTAAACCACGTGTTTTATTTCCAGTTAGTTTCTCCTACTAGTGTGTGTGTGTATTTTTTAAGTCCTATTAATATTTTAGGAAATGTAACTTGTATAGAAGTAGTATACAAGTAGAATTGCATTGAAATTCCCAGTAATATTGATGTGACTGTGTTAATACATTTTTAAAATTAAAAGACAAAAAATTATTTAGCTCCATTGTAACATCATCCTTAACATGTCTTTTTGAAATGCATTTGGTGGAGCACACATCAGAATATATTTTTATTAAAAAAAAGTCTATTCAAATACTTTCATTGCTACAATACAAGGCTGGAAAACTGCAGTGAGATTAGTTTTCTGATATATTTCCTGTTGATAAAAAAATAAAATTCAAAAATATTTTAAAACCTTATGACTTTTCTCACCTTCCTATTTCAGTGAGAATGACTGTTCTTGGAATGCAGGTTCAGATGTGAGAAGGAGAACTATATTTCCATTCAGAGAGATGGAGAAACCTTTTACAATTTCATTTTGAAGTTTTGTGTATTAGAAAATCTAACTGAAGTAACCAAACTGTTTTTTTAGATGTAAAATCTATTTTTTAATAAGTTTCATTTTTCTGCCACAGATGAAAATGATCAGGGTACTTCCTGTACCATGAGAATTGCATAGAGCCAATGGTGTTGATTGCTGAATATTACAGGTTTTCGAGTCTTATTGAGTCTTTGCTTAGAAATGTTACTGTTTTCTTACACAAAAGCAATTGTATTTTGAAATAAATTGCTTGATTAATTTAACATTTTAGCATCTACGAATAGCAAGTGTTTCAGATTATTTTTTTAACTGAGATTATATGATTATGACTTGTTTAAATAGCCTCTCCTTAAATACTTAGTATTTTTCATTAGTCCGTAATCACTGAAAAAACATATGATTTATAACTTCTATATGTGTGGAAAAACTGTATATTAGGACAAAAGTAAATTATCTGGGCTTGAAAATAAATTATATAGGGAAACCTAAATTCAACAGCCTATGAATAAAAATAAGGGTATATAGTTGGCATAGAAGAAGAGTGATCACAGGTAATAATAATTCTGATTTTGGAGTAATCAGATGCTGAGTAGATTTTAAATGTTTAGCGTAATCTTTCTAGTAGCATGAATTTGAGGCAGAAGAATGAAATCTTCCTTGAGAAGCTTTTGATAATACAATTAATGGTTATGAACACAGCATAGCAACAATTTAACTGAACAGGGAAATAATTAGTTCAAGTAAAACTTAAATACTGAGAAACATATTTTAAATTACAATCTGCAGCTGTCATAAAACATCAGAAGTTAGTTACTGAGACTAAATACAGTCTACTTGTCTGAAGTGTTTTATTCAGCCCAAATCAAAACACTTCATTATTACTTCTAGTTAGATTAGTATTCCTTTAGGAGTTCTAGGTTTCTCTGAGTTACACCTCTGTATTATAATTGGCATCAGAAGTGTTAGACAAGTATTTTAATTAGTATATATTTTCTATGAAGTATTTTCCTTAATGTGCCCTGTATTGCATTAACAGATTCGCTGAATATTCATTCTGTTTTTCAGGTCTAACAGGATTAAAAAATATCGGAAACACTTGTTATATGAATGCAGCTTTACAAGCTCTTTCCAACTGGTAAGGAAAATAATTGTAAATGTAAATGTATGTTTGTTTATACATGCATTTTCTCAAGATGGACTTAGGCTTTTGAAGGGCTGCAGTACCATGGAAGATGATGTGTATTTGTTAAATCTAAGTCTTACATATTACTGACAATTGTGTCATTGATAGAAAGAAAGTTTCATGGTACTCATGGACTACTAACTTTTTTCCTCTTTCATTCAAATTCTTCCTTGTCCTAAGTAAAAATATATGCAATTCCGGAAATCAGAAGAAAAATTTGTGGGGTTTTTTCTGCTATAGAAGAAATCAAAGGAAATGGATAAACCCTAATTAAAAAGAGACATGCCAAGATCAAAAGGTCCACATTCAGTCCTTATAAGCAATGCATCTGGGACATTCTATGCTAAATCATTCTAGGAATGATTAGAATTCAAAATCTTCTCATCCCATGGGGCTACCAGGCAAGTTCACAAAGGAGAAGTTTACAAAATCTGAAGCGAGAAGAACACTATCCAACTCTGAAGTGTTTTACACGCAGGCAGGGACGGTACTTGAGCATATGTCATATATAATTGCTGTATGGATCTGCTTTTGGCTGCAATCTAAGTAGACCTCACTATGACCCCTTTGTTGAGGGAGAGGAGATCTGAGGTAAATCTCTCTAGAAGGTAAAGAAGTGGACAGGGCATCTAGTAATGAGGAAATTATTTCATTGAGAAATGCCAGATTTTGCAAGTATGCTGGAATATCTCCTTTTTTGATTAAAAATATGCCCAACCTGTGTAAGGGATTGTGCCATCAAATGGGGGCTTGAGGGGAGAGAAGAATATGTGAGTTGGCAACAGTGTGTGAAGGAAGCAGATAAATAATCAGATAAGGATAAATTATTTACCACAAACATGATGTGCCACTCCTGGATTCTGAAGAAAATATTTAAGATACTATTTATGGAGTAGGCTTATGGTAATTGTTGTTGTAGTGGTGCATGTGTATCTCTGTGATGGCTAGTAGGAATTGCCTAGAATTTTAATTCCATTAAACAATTCTGGGGATTTAACGAATGTCAGAATATGAGGAGCAGTGTTGCTGTACTCCTGAAGTTGTCCTACTAGGAAGTGTTTGTTTGCAGCATTTAATGATGTAGGAAATGAAATGTTCACTAGCATAATAGTATTACTCCGTTGTTTTTTTTTTTTTTTTTCTTCTTAGTTATCTTGTATGAAATGTGGATTTGCTCTTGTATTTTAACAAACTCAACCTGAAAAATAATACTCTTTTCTTTTTAATCAGCCCACCTTTGACCCACTTTTTTCTGGACTGTGGAGGCTTAGCCCGAACAGATAAGAAACCTGCAATTTGTAAAAGTTACCTCAAGCTGATGACTGAGCTGTGGCACAAAAGCAGGTAGTGCATCATTTTGGTGATCAAACGATTATCAATAAACTCCAGACATTCATCTGTCCTAGGTTTCTTATTTTCATCTTATGCATATCACATAATTACTCTTGTAAATAACAGAAGAGAATACTAGCTTACACTTCATATAATCTGTTCTTTTTCATGTCTCAGAAAGACAGGACAAATAATTGATGTTAATTGTAGTAAGGAAGATCTGACAAGAAATAGATGGTAACACTACACAAAGTAGCATTAAAGCTTATTTTTAAGTTTATATCTGCCAGAAGTACATCTAAAATGTTTAACTGCTTTATTCTATCTATGTCCTTCATTCTGTATCAGCGTTTTATCAATTTGTCTTATGTCCTTATATGGAATTTTTGTTATCTCTGTCTAAGATGGTACTTCAAAATATAAGTACAAAGGTAAAGAAACAGCAATTGACCATAGTGCCAATCACAGAATCACTTAGGTTGGAAAAGACCTTCAAGATCATTGAGTCCAACCATTAACCCTACTCTATCAAGTCCAGCACTGAGCCATATTCCCAAGTGTCACATCTCAACCACTTTTAAATACATCCAGGGATGGTGACTCAATTACCTCCCTGGGCAGCCTGTTCCAATGTCTGACAACCCTTTCAGTGAAAAAGTTCTTCCTAATGTCTTGTCTAAACCTGCCCTGACGCAGCTTGAGGCCTTTTCCTCTTGTTCTATCACCAGTTACTTGTGAGAAGACATCAGCGCCCACCACTTTACAATGTCCTTTCAGGTAGTCGTAGAGGGCGATGAGGTCTCCCCTCAACCTCCTTTTCTTCCAACTAAACAGCCCCTGTTCCCTCAGCTGCTCTTCATAAGACTTGTTCTCAAGGCCCTTCACCAGCTTCGTTGCCCTTCTTTGGACACGTTCCAGCAGCTCAATGTCTTTCTTGTGTTGAGTTGCCCAAAACTGGACACAGTATTTGAGGTGTGGCCTCACCAATGCTGAGTACAGAGGGACACCTCCCTTATCTTGCTTGCCACACTATTTCTAATACTGGCCATGGCATACAAGAGTATGTCTGATGTTACCTGATTTTCTGACAAGAAATGTGGCATGAAAGTTCTGATACAGACTATTTCTGTTGGATTACAAATGTAAATAAAAAGTAATTACTTAATATCAGTATTATATTTGGCTAAGATTAATATTATTGGTGTTAGATGTATCACAGTTCAGTTACAGGCAAAATTATGATCCCAGTAAAGACAGAAAATGCCACTTAGATGCTTACTTTTTGGTGTGTATTTATATATTTGGAACTTTTTTTTAGGCCTGGTTCTGTTGTTCCTACTGGTTTATTTCAAGGAATTAAAACTGTTAATCCAACGTTTCGAGGCTACTCTCAACAGGTAAAACTTTCTAATGTCTTTTAGATTTGCAGAAGTCGTAAAGTTACCTCTTATTTTTAAATCTAATAATTAAGATGCTTCCTATATTTTTAAAGCAAATGCAACACAAACTTTAGTTTACATGCTTAAAATGTAGCTCATCTGAAACCAACCCATCAACAGTTTAGTCAGATTTTGTTTGTTTATATAAAATTTTTGAAAGGCTTTCAACTTCGTAGAGTAACTACCCTTTTTTTCAGGAAAACTAAAATACATATCTGAAACTTCTCTTTTGTGTGAAATAATACTGCTGATATTTGAACAGTCCCCAAAAACATAACAAAGGTGTTCATAACCAGAAAAGAATATAAAAGATTTTTTTATGTTCATCTGCCAGTTATGTTTTATAAAAATTGGATACACAGTATCCAATTTTCAGTTACTGTCTTTGGACAAAAACCCTGCCACTGTGTGTTTCCTAAGTACTATTGTGGGAACTGAAAACCAGTAACTTGTTAAAGAGGTATGGGTTATTACATAGTCAAGTGTTCAAGTCATAGTTAATTGGTGTCTCAAGGTTTGAGTAGTCTTTTTTTTTTTAATAAAAGGTTTACCAGCAAATGGGCATATTAAATTTTTTCATTACCCAAACCCAAAGCTCAAATCTGATAGTTGTAGTTTTTAATAAAAAGAATGCTTTTGAGTCAGCAGTTGTGAGCTTAATTAGTAATTGGTATAAGAGATGAGAATGTTGAGCAGTAAAAATTCTTATTATGAACAACTAAATACAAAAAGATAAAATAGAAACAGTACCAGTTGCCAAGAAGAGGCTGTTGTTTTCTCCCATTCTAACTTTATCATATATTCTCTATTGCCAGGAACCAAGGTGCTGCATGGATTATTGACATTTGGTGGCTTTTAAGATATTTCCAAACATAGATTAGGCTTGTAGTAATACTTCACAGCTCTTTGTGGAAACACTGATAGTTAAGGAATCTTGTCTAGGCTTTAGATGCATTAAGATCTTGTTGGCAGTATGATGCAATTGGAAAGACATGCTAAATACATCATAATACTTTTTAATTAGGGTACTTCTCTGCTCAGTGGAAGCAAAACTGATTACTTTGCTGAAGATGCTGCATAAGATTTTTTAAAAACTGGCCCTAAAACATTGAGTTACCAGCAAAGCTGGAATCTGACCCCAGTTATCATTCTTGTAATCAATGAAAGTTATCATTGGTAGTTAGCATTCTTGTAATCAATGCAAAGATTTTTGTTCAAGTTCTTGAAATAAGCTTTTTGGAAATTGAAGTGTTCTGGAGGGAACTTGTATGATAAGATTACGTGTGACGTGCAAGAAATGGATGCAGGAAACAGGTATGTGATCTGGAAATGAAATTTCTTTTGAATGTTAGACCTGGGACAGAGAAATTTACTTTATTCTTCTTTAACAGCCAGCTGTAGGCTTCATTTTACTGCTCTGCCTTTCCCTTATATGACTTTAAGATCTTTCAAATTAAATGGAATAATATTGTAAAACTTTTTCTAAATCCTAGGATGCACAAGAGTTTTTGCGTTGTCTGATGGATTTGCTTCATGAAGAACTTAAAGAACCAGTTGTAGAACTGGAAGATGCCCAGCCTATGAGTGTTGAAGAGCATATGGAAGAAGACAAGAGCCAGTCAGATGTAGGCTTTCAGCCCTGTGAATCTTGTGGTACCTGTGATAAAACAGAAAATGACACGATTTTCAAACCTGTCTTAGAGGATCTGGCAGAGACAACCATGTTAATTCAGGATGATGATAACTCAATCACATCCAAAGACTGGCAGAAGGAAAAAATATCAAGCAATAAGCTTAAACGAGCAAATTCTATCGATGACTTGGAAAAAGAGACAAACACTGCTTCAGAGACCACTGAATTTTTAAATAATCAAGGAACTGTCAAAGTACAGATACACAGCAGATTCTCAGGTAATGCATGACTAATACGCAATTGAAATAGTAAAATTCTTAGAATATCTGTAAGTGGAAATGAGTTGTAGAATACAGTGGAGAAGTATAAGTCAAATAAGGAAGGTGGTTTTACTTGTAAACAATGCACCTGCTTATTTATTTTTTTTTAGTTGTGGTGTTCTGAATTCAGTTTAAATTCCCTTGAAAAGCTAAAAATTTATACTGGGTGAGGTTTCAGATAGCCCAGAAGAGTGGGGGTTTTTGGTTTCGTTCATAACTTAGGTATGCGAATTGAAATGTTGCTTCATTCCTAAATGTCCAGTGACTCGACAGTGTGGTTAAATAAACTACATGACTATGGTGCCTGTTATTCTGCAGTATATTTTTGGGCAAAATTTATGAAATGCAAATACTAATTGCAGAGTACATCAATGATGTGCACATGAATGATGCATCTGCAGCCCAAACCCCATCATCAAATGAAGAGATGAACACACGCTTATCAAACAGCCCTCCAAAATCCTTTTCATCATGCTCTTCACTCGCACCAGTCCACAAAAAAGGTATAGGCCCTTTATTTTCTCCCTTGTGGTACTGAATTGCTCTGTATTCATTTTTATTTTGTTGTTTCTTCTGCCTTGCATAGCAATGCAGTGTTGTTCTTAGGGATTTTTTTTTTAATTTATTCTCTGTCCCCAGTGAGGAGAGGGGGCCTTATATAAGCTGAACATAGGAGATGACTCCCTTTACTTCTGTAAAATTCTGATTAGTTTGAAGCATGAATAGTATTTGCCTCTCCTTTAAGAAGATAGAATAATATTTTTAGACAGCTTTCTCAACTGTACTGGTTTGAAGAGAGGGAAGTTATTACCCACAGAAAGATAATGCTTTTCAAAGAACATGCACATTGGTTCTTCAGAAGAAGTTCAGGAAGTCAGTATTTTAGTTAAAGTCTAAGGAGCCATGCATTACCTATACTGTAGATAGATTTCTAAATTCTGATTACTTTCTGATTGTTACTGTCTTTGAGGTGTAGGATATTTCTTTTGTCACTTCTCACAGTATAATGTCTTTATCAGCACCCAGAATGTTTAGAGTTTTTTATACAAGTTTTAGATACAAGACAATGCAGTTTTAGGGTACAAAGAACCTTTTTTTTTCCCCTTATTTATCTAAGAGTAGACTATTTTAACAAAAGTTCATATTTTGGAACGTTCTTAAGGGTAAAATAAAACCAAACCAATCAATTCCCAAAACTTTAATATTGTGATCCTCTTTCATTCATCAGGCTGTCCAGGATAAGTTCTGAAATGCTCATGTTAACCTTGTAATGCTTTAGCATTGATATTGAATGACAATATTTTAATGGACCTAAACCATTGACCTCTGGTTCATTTGTTAAGCAGTTTTGACACTGCATCTGAACTACTGTCGCCAGTTGTGGGTTCACAACTGTGGGATGTTTCAGACAAACTGAAGTGAGTCTATGAGAAGAGGTACTAGGTGGTTGGAGTCTGACATGTTTAAGGAGAGGTTGAGAGAGCTAGGCTTGTTGGCTGGAGCCTGGGGAAGGAAGGGCTAAAGGGAAATGTTGCTGTCATTAGTGTTATGCGTGGTTATAGAGAAGGCAGAGCCAGACTGTTCTTGAAGCCATGCAGCAAACAAATGGAAGCAAGTTGCAGAAAGGAAAATTCCTATTAGATGGAAGTAAAAAAATCTTTCCACTGAGTAGCTGAATACTGGACCAGAGGCAGGAGCCCAGAAGTATCCCAAGGTTCTTGGAGATGGATATTACAAAGTTCAACTGCTGCTTTGAGCAGAGATTGTACTATATGATAACCAAAGGTCTCTTCTAATCTAGACTACTCATTTTTGTCACTTCCTAGTAATTTAATTCTTGGTCATCTTCACTGAGTATTGAGGCAACAGGTATGTATGCAATAGAGGTGACTAGAGAACTAGTGTGGTAGCAGTCTGCAAGCTCAAAAGGTGTGTGGGCTTTTTAATTACCCATAATGGCAGGGGAATTCCCTTGTGTGCTAGGACTTGTCTGGGGGCTAATTACAACACACTTCTTCCCTTCTCTTTGGTTTTCCCCTTGCTGAAAACTTGTGTGTTGGGTGCCACAGTTCTAAGATGCTTCTGCTTCTCAGTGTCTTCACCTTCTTCCTGCTGTTTGTTAATGTAGATAAATGCAGCATATCCCCCACATCACTGATAAATAAAGACTTTAGAACCATCTTAAAGCAATTTAGTGGCAAAATAAGTGATTGAAAGGAACCTTAGAGAATTCTGGGAAAAAGGCTACATGAGGCAGTTTGCGTGCATGATAAAATATACCTTATGCATTGTGGAAAAGAGTTTTTCAGCATTTTATTTTTGTTATTTTATAGTTTCTACTGTTTCATCACCAAAAAGGAAGAAGCGCAAGAAGTACAGGAGTGTTATCTCTGATATCTTTGATGGGACTATAATAAGCTCAGTGCAGTGCTTGACTTGTGATCGGGTAAGTATGGAGAGGAATTCTAGCTTTTAATGTTGTGGGTTTTTTTCACCGATAATAATACTTAGTTTTACAAATACAGTTGTTTTCTAGTAATTTTATTATTTTGTGGCAGATTTCCTTAGAAGGTTAAGTTTTCATACTTTTTCAATCAGATAGTAATGACAGTTACTACTGGCAGTTTGTGTTCAGAGTAGCCTGCTTTCATTGAGCTGGATATTTACTCTCCTGAAAAATAACATTTTAAAAATGAGTTTAAAGCAAGGATGGAGAAAGAGGCTTGCTCTTGAACTGCATTTAG